TAAATGTAACTACAGTTTATTACTTTGATGCAGCCATAAACTATAGAAATAAACCATCAACTTGAGATTGGGACACGGAACACAGATTGTGGCTGTACCCATTCATTGATGACTTCTAGCTTATCAGCTAATTGAACGTGAGATGCTAAATTCTTGTTAAGTATGTAAGAATAAAAAACATCCTGTCTTCAGTTATGCTATTTGGAGGTTTAGGCATGCCTACTCTATGACAAAAGTGGAGGCCAATTTTGGGTTTGAAGGTAACTTCTAATCTTCTAGATTTAAGCCCTTTGTTCCACCCTTTCCACCAGAAATCCTCCTTGGCTCTCCTGGAAGTGACTTTCATTAAGATGCTTTTAAAAAGAAGAAAACAATGTTCCAGCAAACTGCAGAGTCTACACCGTGGGGTTGATCCTGTCCACCCCTGATATTTCAAAGAAAGCCTTGGAGAAATACCAAGCTCAGACTTAACAAATACAGGAAAAAACCACATGATCATCTCAACAGATACTAAAAAAGTCATTTGAGGAAATTTAATATGTGATTTCTGATTTAAAAAAAAACAACTCTCAGTGCAGTAGGGCTGGAAGGGTTGGAAATGCCTTAGCTTGTTATCTGTTAGGATTCTATAATAGACCTTAAGGATATGAAGCATTAAAAGTTTTTTCATTGAAGTCTGGGACAAGCAGGGACCTCCAGTCTTATCCCTTTTACCTATTGCCTTGCAGAGCCCAGCCGGTGCAGTGAGGTGTTTCTTTTAGGTAGGAATTATAAACATTGAGGCAACAACTATCTCTAGAGGCAGAAAAGATGATTTACCTAGAAAACTCAGAGAAGTTAGAACTATTAGAACTAATAAGGGAGTAAAGTGGTTGGATATAAACCCAGCATTTTAAAACCAGAAGCTTCTTATATGTCAGCAGTAACCAATTAGTAAGTCTAACAAGGGAAATTTACATTAACAACAACTATGAGATAACATTGAAGGGATAAACTTAGCAAAAAATGTGAAAGTTTAAAGTGAAGAAAACTGTGAAACTTAAAGATGTAAGAAAAAGAACAAAAAATAAAAATGGTGAGTATACTAAGGTTATATTGAATATTTAAAAGGTATCAGTTGTCCCTAAATTAACCTATGGTTTTTGTGCAATCTTCATTCAAAGATTCCATTAATAATTTTAAATATAACTTAATATATCCTGAAATTCATTTAGAAGAGTGTAAGAATACTGAATAAAATTTTGCGAAAAGAACAATAAAGAGGAAAGAACTTGCCCTATCAAATATCAAACTTACTTACCATTATATTAAGACACTTGGAGAATACTGTGTAATGCCCCTTGCATGTACTTTATACAAAAATAAATCTTAGGTGATTCAAAATCCTAAAAATACAAATTACTTATAGTTGTATTAGAGAAAAGTATAGAGTAATATATGTACACACATGTATGTACACACATGTGTATGTATACATACATACTTGTATACGTGCATGCATATAATATAATTTGGGGATAGAGAAGGTATGAAATTAGAAGCCATAAAGGAGAAAATTTTAAGACATTATTACCATATTACAGTGTAAGATCTCGTCAGTAGTGCAAAACTCTATAAGCAAAGTTAGAAAACAAACAGTCTGGGAGAAAATATTTTCTACAAATAAAACAGATGAAAGGATTATATCCATCGTCTATAAAGAGTTCTTTCTATAAAGAATTCTTACAAATGAATAAGCAACAAAATCCATTTAAAAAGAAGCAAAAGATATGAAGAGGGTGGTATACAGGAGAAGAAATGGATCCAATGGACATGTGAGATGCTCAGTCTCACTAGTAACAAGGAAATGTAAATTCAACAATAGTGATATTTGTATATATCAGATTGGCAACATTTTAAAAATTAGTATTGTACAAAAATGCACTCTTAGAAATGTTGGTACAACTATAAATAGATAAGATTCAGCAATGCTCTTAGAAATATAAAATATACATGTCTTTTGCATGAACAGTCTCAATTCTAGACATCCCTTCTATAAAAATACTCACATACCTAAAAATCCTTCCGTTGGGGAATGATTAAGTAAATTGTTACATATCCAAGCTATGGAACACTACTCACCCTTTAAAAAGAACAGAGTAGTTCTGTTTGTACTAACATGGGAAATTGCATATGGTATACTGGTATATTGAAAAAGTAATTTAAGATCTGTGGGTAGTATAATCCTATTTGGGTTAAATCATTTATATGTAAAAACCAAGGATTGAGAGGTTCACACCAAGCAGTTAAGGGTGGTCTTCTCTGGGAAGAGCAGCAAGGTAGATTGGGGGCAAGGGAGACACATTTCTGCATTTGTTGAAAGTTTGCAATGAACATCTTTGGTAATTTAAAAAATTAATGTAGGGCTTCCCTGGTGGCACAGCGGTTGAGAGTCCGCCTGCCGATGCAGGGGACACAGGTTCGTGCCCCGTCCGGGAAGATCCCACATGCCGCGGAGCAGCTGGGCCCGTGAGCCATGGCCGCTTAGCCTCTGGGTCTGGAGCCTGGGGG